GCCTTTACCTGAGGCGCGCATGGCCACAAGACTGTTCCCAATCTGGCTCCGCCACTTAAGAAGCGTCGGACCTTACATGTCACCTGCCAACCTCCCACATCCTATCCTTGTCTCCAACGCGGCGTTGGGATGGCCAGGAAAGACGAGGAGGCATCTCGCTAGGGTTCTCCCCGCCACTGCGTGAACAGATGCACTTGCCAGGTTGATAGGCGGGTCGGGACCCCAAGAACACCGCACGCAGTGAGTTAGGCAAACAGCTTTATTTGAAAGACGGGAGACAGCCGAGTCCCCCCGACCCCGTGGTCCTGGCGACGTCAGTCTCAGGCGTGGGAGGACCAGTGTCCTGGGGGGAGGACGCGGCGCCTGTCGGGGCCTGGGTTTCACCGCCGCACATGGAGCAGCGCGCGGTGAGCTGAGGCCCCCGGAGGCTCTGGGCGTCGAATCTCACCCGCGGCCACGGCCAAAGCCGGGGGGTGATTTTCAACCAACGCCGGTCTCCAAGACCACCAGCGGGATACCGGCGGTCAACGCAGCAGGACCTACCTAAGTGAAGCCAGAAACTATTTCTTAACAATGTAAATCTTTAATTAAGGAGAAAAGTTTTGTTTCATCATTCTAGCTATAAGTGTGACTTTACATTTTAAACTATGTTATTGAAAGCATCCTAGTCAGTAGTATTGACCATACATTCATTAATTCAATTTCCTGAATCACAGGGACTAAGAGATCAAGGGAAAAATGAACTGGCCAGAGAAATATTTCCAGATGAGGATAAAAACTGTAATACAATTAAATGAACTCTTGATCTGTTAAATTCACCACTGTTTATTATTTAAATACCACATAATCACTAAATACCATAAAAACTAGAAATAACAAAACTTCTGTATACTATGAGAATGGAATATTATTAAATTACCAATACTTAACAAAGGCATTTCCTGAAAACTGTTAAAGAAATAATTCATATATTAACACTAGGTGGGAACATCATACAGTTAACATTATCTAGAGTTTCAAATATTTCAATAGAAACCATATATTACTAAAGTTCAAATATCGCTCTAATTTTTTTTTTAAATTGAGCTTCTCGGGCTATTCTAATTTTGACCCTACTGATTCTGTAACGTTGAAGAGATTTGTGAGAAGGAATAAGGAAGAACTGAATTTTAAACCGTCCTTTTAGATACCTCATCATAAGTCTATTTAGACACTGAATTCAAATAAATAATTAAGAAAGCTTTGAGACAGCCGGCCAGGCGCAGTGGCTCACGGCTGTAATCCCAGCTACTTTGGGGAGGCCCAGGAGGGCAGATCACGAGGTCAGGAGATTGAGACCATCCTGGCTAACATGGTCAAACCCCGTCTCTACTAAAAATACAAAAAATTAGCCGGGCGTGGTGGCGGGCACCTGTAGTCCCAGCTACTTGGGAGGCTGAGGCAGGAGAATGGCGTGAACCTGGGAGGCGAAGCTTGCAATGAGCTGAGATAGCGCCACTGCACTCTAGCCTGGGCGACAGAGCGAGACTCCATCTCAAAAAAAAAGGAAGAAGAAGAACAACAACAACAAAGAAAGCTTGAGACCGCCAAATGCCTAGGCAGATAAAAAGGGTCTCTGGAGAAACTCCGACCAGGCCCACAACTGTTTCCATTAGATGCTTTTGTGCAGATGAGGGAACCTAACCAGGGCCTTGTCTGAGCATGCCCACATGCCCACTGGGGGATCGGGGTGGAGCCAGGGCAGCAAGGAGGATCCTGGCTTCTTCAGTTCCTGTGTGGTGGCCTGGGATTCAACCTGTGAGGCTGGGGCACTGTTAGCAGGCGTCCATCTCACTGTGCTGAGTTTTTTGTTTCTTTTTTTTCCCTTTCGCCCAATAAAATCCTATTCTACTCACCCTTCAATGTGTCTGCATGCCTAAATCTCCCTGGTCGTGTGACAAGAGCCCGGTTTTAGCTGAACTAAGGAGCAAAATTCTGCAACAGCTTGACGGTCAATTTCCTTATCTACAGGGACTTTCAAATCCAATACTGCATCTTCAACTATACGTTTGAAAAGAGCAGCATCTGTGAGGGCCCAAATCTATGTATGTGGAATCTAGTGCTTTCTGAGTTCTCCTCCTACCCTGCATCATACTCTTATTCCTGGCATTTCTCCATCACTTGTCATTCTGTGAGCAGAAGCCATAATATAGTTTTAATTTTTTCACAATGTCCAAACACATTATGTGCCCATAACACACTCACAGTATTTGTTAAATGAATTTAAAATACTAAAAATAAGAGAAGATACTACCTCTTGAAGACAAGGAATAAAGCAACACATCTGGAAGTAGTTTCTAGTTCCTTCAACTAATGGAAAATGAATAAGCAACAGTAAGAATCAGAATGCAACTTTTTATCAATGTCACATCTAAGTACATTCTTGCACTTTACATAAAGTATTTCAATATCAACTATAATGTTAAGAAAGAAAGAGAGAAGGAAGAAAGCAAGGGGGGAGGGAGGGAGAGAGTGGGGTTAGGTAGGTAGATGAGGGAGGGAGGAAGAAAGGAAAAAAAGAGAGGGGGAGAGAGGTGGGAAAGGTGACAATTGCCTGAAATATGGCCCCTATCTACATAACACAAATGGTCCTCTTCAAGAGTTTTTGGACTACATATAGTGAAACTAATTGACAGCATCAACAAAAATTTAAGGAAAAGGAAAACACATTTACCTAGATAATCTCTAAGGTTCATTTAAAATTCTTCATTTAAAGCATCTATAAAATTAAAGAAGTTAGGTTACTTGTGAAATGTTAAAAGGAAAATGAATAATAAACAAACACAAATACAAAGGTACTAAGGTACAGAAAATCTACTTCACTAGAATTCCTTAATTTAGGGAAAGCACTTCTATATTTGTTTATACTTTTTGTTTAGAAGGAAACCCTTGATAAACTAGGGAAAGTGAGGCATTCTGCCCCTCCCAAGAGCATTTAAATGTGGGAGAAATTGCCTTGTACAGGCAAGGGAAGTAATTTCTTTATGTTCCAGAAAAAGAGGAAGGAAAAAGATACAAACAAAAGGGATGAAATGAGCAATGTGACATATGGTCTGTATTAGTCCATTTTCGTGCTGCTGATAAAGACATACCCAAGACTCAGCAATTTACAAAAGAAAGAGGTTTAATTGGACTGATAGTTCTACATGGCTGAGGAAGCTTCACAATCATGGTGGAGGTGAAAGACATGTCTCACATGGCAGCAGACAAGAGAAGAGAGCTTGTGCAGGAAAACTCCCCTTTTAAAAACCATCAGATCTCATGAGACTTATTCACTCTCAGAACAGCATGGAAAAGACCCACCCCCTTGATTCAATTACCTCCTACTGGGTCCCTCCCACAACACATGGAAATTCAAGATAAGATATGGGTGAGGACACAGCCAAACCATATCATGGTCATAGTTTACAGATGGGTGTGAAGGTGCAGACACCAGGATGAAATCACTTTTCAGACCCAGACAAAATAGGGCCAGGAAGGCATCAAGGAAAGGAGGCTCATGCTTACATGTCTGTTTCCAATGACGTCCTAAAATCCCTGTAAGAAATATTTTTGCATTCTTCATGCATCTCCTGCCTTTGACAAGGTTTATCACTATGTATTCTTTAGGATGGTAGTAACTCAGATAAGTTGCTCTTGGAAGAACACTTGCTCAGTAACAGCATCTCTACCAATGAATTGACAACAACTTGGACTTTGAACTTCTGAAACCAATAAACTCTCTTTCTAAGCAGCTTATGTACATCTCCACCTTTTGGCTAATAAAAGCCTTCCTTTACTCTTCCCTCACTGAATGCACTTGTGGCTTGCCCTTTCATGCATTCCACTTAAAAATCCTTATTTCTTATTCCCAAGAAAACTAAACATATTTAGAGATAATTTTCCCTAGTGTCTTTTTTTGGGTTAACATAGGTAATATGAATATGATCCCTCCTTGTAACCCTTAAATCTTTCAGACAATGTGAGTAGATTTTCTGGAGAATCCATTTAAGTGAAAAAAATTCTATATACAAGGTAACAAAGGGTGGGACAGAACGTCTCATATGAATACCATAGCACAGAACTAGAGCAGGGAGGTAAACAAGGAAAACAAATGATTATGGGTAGGACTTCAGACTGTCAACAGCTATGGGACTGTCTAGATCCATGTTTTAGATGTGATTATGCTTTTTACCTAAATAACAAAGGAAGGACATCTCATTTTCTTAACAATTAAAATTGTTATTAAATAAATAAATGGGATAATTTGTCAATCATGTACTCCCTTATTTTCTTTACATTGTTCCTTACATTCTTTTTAAGAATTTAACCTGTGACTTTCCCTTGGTGTTTGGTGTTAAGAGCACAAATAAAATCATTGGGACAAAACATCTTACCCGCTACTTTGTTTGCTTCAAAACATTAGAAAACCAAGTAGTCTTCCTTAAAGATAAACTGAATTTTTATTTCAATAATTAGGAAATAAATGCTACACTGAACTAAATGCCAAAATTATAAGGAAGAATGTCAATACAACAATTTATCATTATGTTGATACGCCTAATTGATCAAATTAGGGGAAGAAAAAAAGGAGAGAAAGGAAAGGTAGGAAATCTCAATAGACCCAAAAACAGTATAATATAATAGATTCTAAGGGACCGGACTTTCTATATTACACTTCAATATTCTACCAGTCAGTATTCTAGGATCTTCCATATATTACCTCATTTAGTACTCAAAACAACCCCATCAGATAGGTGCAGCTATTATCTTCATCTCATAAAGGAGGAAACAGAGACACAGAAGGTTGGTAGGTAACCTGCCTAGGGTTATAAACGAAGCAAAACAGCCAAGATCTGAACTTAGGCAATATAATTCCAAAAATTCTTCTCTCAACTCCTACACTGTACTGCATATTATGAATATTTACAAAGTGATTTATATATCTTCAAAGTTTTGTTTTTAAGATTACTGTTATATTTATCAAATCAAATTTTCTGAAAATATTTAAATTGTAACATAGATACACCAAATTATGGTGCAAAAACACTCATAAGTAGCTATTCAGAAATAAGTATGATCTCTAACACATAGCTTTAAAAATGATAAATCCTAGAGCACGAGATAAGAAATATATAAACAACAATTGTATGGGCATATATTATGTTTAACTGTTGGGAATTAATGTCAGTAGCACAGAATAAAATTTTTAACTGGCATTCAATATGAGATATATAAAAATAGTTAAAAATAGTTTTCTAAAGTGGTAAACTAAAATCTATCTAATATTTAAAGAATAAAGAAAAGAAAAAAACAGAGCTGAAATACCTGCACACTCCACCTAAGATAGTTCCTTGAACTATATTAATTATTATTTAACCATGTATTTAAAAGAGGGAAAAAGACCTCCAAATTTTCTAAAAATGGAAACCTCTGTTTAAAAAATGGAATGAAATGCTATACTAAGTGGAATTACAGTTCTGGAACGCAAGTGTTTATTATTTTATGATGAAACAACAATGAACACCTACAACATAATTTAAGGTTGCTGTAGTTTTACAAGGATAGAAGAAAAACTAAATATTATTCTCTAAAAAAGTGATTTTATACTACAAATGAAATAAAAATTTAAGAAATATGAGCGAATAAAAAACTAGTGTGTCAGTGTGTCAGTCTTATTTTAGACTTAACTCACATAAGAAAAAAGGTAACAGAACTCTAATATAACCTGTTTGAGATAAATCATTTCTGGAAAGTAATAAATTCCTGATGTCATTGGGTGGCAAAGCATTTGTACAAAAAAGAAAGTGTCTGCATGCTTTTGGTAAGAAAAGCTAATTTTTTTCCATCTGTAACTAGAAACAGTATCATGCCAATTTGAAAGTATCTGTCTTTTATAAAGCTATAGAGCAGGAAACAAATTAAAAAAGCAGTTGTATCCATAAAATGAAAAGGATTCTCTATCATTTTTCAATTCTACTAATGATCAGAAAAGTAACATTAACCCAATGGTAACTACTACTTAGAGGTTCACCTGCTTTAAGAAAAAAAAAAAAAGAAGCTGTGATTTTAAACACTAAAAGTAAGCTTATATAGGTGAAAATACATTGAATGACTAAACAAGATTATTCCACACACAAATATGATGGGGACTGGCCCTAGTTACCTAATCAAAATGGTAAAGTGCTCCATGAATTAAGAAAACAGAAGCAGAAGAGTAGACAACCAGTGGGGAATTGTCAATCTAATACAATAACATATTTTATACCACTGT